CAATGGCCCCCCCCCCCCCATGAGAAACAACTAGTCTTAAAACAAGTTGAATTGTTGTAGGTTTAACGACCGGACTAAAAGTATTAGTAAAATCAATTCCAAGTTATTGATGGGATCCTAACGAGGTGTGCTTGTAGCGGGCAACCATTCCATCTGGATTTCTCTTAATTTTAAATATCCATTTACAACTAATAATATTTTGTGTGTGTGTTTGGGTGGAACAAGACTCAAGATAGAGTTATTTATGACAGCATCATATTCTTCACTTATGGCCTTTTGCTTGAGAAAATTTTTGGGCTTGGTGGAATGTACATGGTTCTATCAGACCAGTAGAATCAGAGAAGGTAGTACGTAGGTCAAATATTTTGTTTAATTTGAAGATATTATGTTCAGACCGTGTAACAATTTGGGGCTTGGATGGGGAAGGTAGTGATGATAAAGTAGATTGTGTGGGAAAATATTAGTCAGAAGCTTGTACTGTGTGAGAATCAGAGATGTTGGCGTCTTGGACTTGAGATATAGAATTAGGCAAAATCTGCCAAGTAGAATAGATATTTTCACTTTCAAACGATTTAAGAGCAGGTTGAGAATTAGCTAATAGTAGATTTTGATGTTGTGCTTGAGTAATTTGTGCTGGTACCATTATGTGATTAATGGAGTTGTTGGAGAGAATTTTAGTAGATGAGTCAGGTTTATCTGCTTTGACTATTTTAGATAGATTCAAGGGTGTCGTTTGTGTGGGAAGACTAGAAGCAGGTAATATATTTGCAGGAAGCCAATCTAAATAAGAGTCCTGGGAAATTCTCCCGACTTGAAGAAAGTTATTTTTGAATGAAAATTTCGTTTCAAGAAAAATAACTTGTCGAGAAATGAAAGGACTTAGTGGTGAAGGGGTCAAAGCATATATACAAGTTATGACAAGAGAATATCCAATGATTACACATGGCTTCGAGTGAGGTTCTAATTTATAACATATGTATGGGCGAGCCATGGGTAGCACAAACTGCCAATTACTCTTTAAGTTTGAGATAACTTGGGATTTTGTGAAAAAAAATTTCAAAGGGGATTGAAAATTCAAAATCATTGTAGGCATATGATTAATGAGATAGATTGCGTTTTGAAAAGCAATCGACCAAAAATTCAATGGCATAGAAGCTTGATGTAGGAGAGTCAGACCCGTTTTGATAATGTGACGATGTTTTCATGCAGCTGAATCGACAAGTTGAGGTATAGTGACTTGAGGTGTTGACAGACCCGGACCTGAGCTGAGGCCAATGAGGCCTGTGCCTCGGGCCCAAGACCATAGGGGTCCTAATTTTGGCCCAATAATTTTTTTTTTTTTTTTAACATTGCCTATCGGCCCAAAGGGCCAAAACCAATTATCCAACTAGCTCACAATTCATTGACCTTTCAAATCTATTTACCCAACCCAATTTACTTATCCAATATCCATAATCCAATCCAATTAACCAAAAATTCCCAAAATCTGATTCTGAAATGCAATCAAAACTTTCCAAAATCTGAAATATAACAGCCCGCTGGACGTGCTCTTCAGTCGTCGCCTACTCACCTTAGTGTCATCTCCTTCAGGTCAGTGGTTCCCAAAATCGTTGAGAAGTCGTTCGAAGTCTCAAGTCTGCAGCTCTTGAGTTGCCTCTTCACTTGGACTTGGTAGTTTTGCTAGTGGCCAACACCCTCTTTTTCCTGAATTTTAATCTTGATTTCTAGATTATTGGGCTTCTTCAATCGAGCCATTGGGTGGGTAATTAAGCTTTTTTACCTTGTGCATCCACTTTTTATCTCTAATCTTACTCGTTGTCATTTTGGGTATTCAGCCTATTTCATCTTAATCTGATAGTGATATAAAAGCTCATTATCTGGTAACATTTTTTTTTAAATCTTTTTTTTTTTGAGTTTTGAATCTTGTGTATACCATCACCAATTCACTGTGGAAGGTGGATATCCACAGCATTTTTCCTAGGGTGTATCTATAGAGCAATAAAATTTGAAGAAAAAGGGAATTTATATAACTATAGTAGGATGTAAGCAAGTAGCTAAATTTTTCGAAGAAAAAAGGCTTAAATATTGTCAAGACTAAGAATCTAAGATCTAGTCAGTCCATAATTGCATCTGTTAAGTATGATATAAGTGGGCCATTTACTTAAATTTTTAACGATCAATTTGCCAGCTAACCATTCTTAGAATATCATTGTGCATCAGTGCATTTGGTGGCTTGGATAAGGAAAATAAGTGTGAACTTCTTTCATCAGCAAGCAAATCCCAAAATTTTTTATATTTATGAATGACTTAGTGCTTAAAGTAATTTCAGAATATGTTTAAAATTGGTGTGAATGACATACTTTTACATGACATGCTGGGAGATTAATTGCATTGAGAAGCACGCTCGTATTCTATTTGAAAGCCAACTGGATCCAATAGCATATTTTAATATGATTAACATGGACCTGCATGACAATAATTTGTTAAGTCCATTACCTGATTATCATTTACCTTGGAAGAATGTTAACTGTGAAGAATTCAAAGTCAGCAAACAATAACTTCAATGTGGCTACCGAGTTGGATTCACCCTTCATGTTGTTTGCTGTGTATATATAGGCTACTTGTACATGGCTATTTATGTTCAAAGCTGACTTCAAGATTTGTAAATACCTATAAATTTAGGTGAAGCAATTATAAAAAACCACAAGTAACAATTTTGAGCCTATCTTAGCTAAAAGCAGCCAACGTTAGCCGTCGAAGCGCTACGATTATTGCTTCAATTTCCTTATCGCTGGAATTTACTTGGTGCTGTCAATGAGGGATTTGGGAAAAATGATACTTCAAGAATGAAACTCTTTAACTTGATAAGCTAAAGAATATAAAAAAAAATGGAGAAATAATAAACTACTTGAGTTTTACTTTTTTTTTCCAGCTTAATAACTTGCTCAAGCGCTATATAAGAACAAAAGAAGCATGTTTGAATGTGTTTTAAGGCTCTTTATGATTGCAATCTGTGCATGGCTGGGTCTTGGTAATGCATTTAGACTCTTAACCTGCAATTCCGTATATGTGATCGATATTTTTGGACTGGGCCACTATCTACTATGTCTTCATTTCTTTCTTCACTCCCTCACTTTAATGTACATTAACTATAGTACTTACAAATTTCTTCTATGTGAGGTATATGTTCTATTAATCTCTAAATTGGCAATGCAGTTCCAATAATTTGTTAATTTCCAATTTAAATTCTGAAGACGATAGTTTTAGAAGATAATATGTATAATTTTGGTCAAGGGTTGTGGACATTGAACAAGCTGGTCCATTTTTGTACTTGCTGCACTCCATCTGTATGAAGCCATAACGAAGTCCAAACATGAATGAATCAACTGAAAACTTCTTACATGTTTCTTTTTGCTATGTTACAGCATCGTTGACACAATCCAGAAATTTCTTCAAATTGCAATCAGCTTACCACCATTTCAGAAAAAAGGATCATTCTCAAAGGTGTAATTCCAAAATTTTCATCAAAGTTCCACTTCTTAGGTGAGCAATGACTTGCCCTAAGTAGCCATGTTAAAGGTTGAAAATGTTTGAAGTCTTGCCGACTTATATAATTACAGCCTGATCGGCTTATATGATTGCTTATTGTATGATGAACAATTGTACAAGCGCACATAGTAACTATATTGGAAACTATAATTGTGAGATGAATGAGATATTTTGTAATTGTTTTTTAGGTTAATTATTGGATATTAGATATACACTCTTATACTATGCCTCCTAAATATGAATCTGGTGCTCAAAAGAGGAAAAGGAAACGAAATGAAATTACATTAATTCAAAGTCAAGCAGGGGATATTAACAAGTACTTCAAAAGCAACAACGTGAATTCGTTGAATGAGGATGAAACAGAGATTCAACATGCCCATGTTAATGAAGTAGATGATAAGGATGAAGAAATGAGTCAACCTACCGATGTTCATGAAATAGATAATAAGGAAGAAGAATTGATGAAGTCCGCCTCTAATAATGAAGAAGATGATAAGGAAGAAGAGGGTTGCTTTTCTCTAAATTTGGATGATCCCGGGAATTAGAAAATCATTGATCAAAGAACAAGGGATTACTTAGTTGAAAGGAGTCCAAAAAGAGTTGATGACATCTCGTTTCCGAAAGACTATACGAATAGAAATTTCGATTCTTCACAATATAAGCGATTGCTACCAAATGGGCAAACAGTTGATAGAAGATGGCTAGTATATTCAGTATCTATGGACATTATTTTTTGCTTTTGTTGCAAGCTGTTTAAAACACCAATAAATGTGACCAAAGTTGACCAACTAGATAATGATGGATTCAAAGATTGGCCTAATTTGTATCGGTCTATTAAAACTCATAAAGGAAATGACGAGCATTTACGTTGCATGACTAGCTAGATTGAATTGGAAAATAGGCTTCGAACAAAAACTACAATTGATAAAAGCGTTGAATTGTTGATTGATGCTGAAAGAGAACATTGGAGACATGTATTAACAAGGATAATCGCTACTGTGAAAAGACTTGCAAAAAACACATTGCCATCGATGAGAGGCTACATGTTGAGAACAATGGCCTATTTTTACAAATGGTGGAAATGGTTAGTGAATTTGATCCAGTAATGCAAGAGCACCTTCGGCGGGCTAAAGCAAGAGAGATTCAATATACGTATTTTGGCAAAAAAATTCAAAATGAGTTGATACAGTTGTTGGCTAATGAGGTGAGAAGTTCAATTGTCAAGAAAGTTAAACATACAAAAATATTTTGCAGTTATACTTGATTTTACTCCAGATGCAAGTCATGAGGAGCAAATGTCTTTAATTGTACGATTTGTAGATGATTCGGCAAACTTACCTACAGTTGAAGAACATTGGCTAGAATTTTTGAAGGTAGATGACACAACAGAACTTGGACTTGCAAATGAGCTTCAAAAGGCTTTGATAAAACTTGATCTCGATATTGATGACATTAGAGGGCAAGGGTCTGACAATGGATCTAACATGAGCGGGAAGCACAAAAGTGTGCAAAAAAGAGTTCATGAAATGAATCCCCGAGTTTTCTATACTCCATGTGGCGCTCATAGTCTAAATCTAGCATTATGTGATATGGTGAATTGTGTGATATGGTGAATTGTTGTTTCAAAGTCGTATCCTTCTTTGGAGTGATACAATGCATCTACACATTGTTTTCCTCTTCTACCAAGCGATGTGAAATTTTCAAAGATAATGTACAAAGGTTTACAGTGAAGCTATTGTCACTAACACGTTGGGAAAGTCATGTTGAGAGTGTGAGGCCTATAATGGAGCAAACTGCACAGATAAGAGATGCATTACTTGATTTGGCAGAAAGTAATGAAGATCCTAAAGTGAAGAGTGAAGCCGAGTCATTGGCAACACATGAACTTCAAAATTTTGAGTTTTTGCTTGGTACGATAATCTGGTACAGGTTGTTGCATGTTGTCAATATTGTAAGTAAATTTCTTCAAACTGAATCCATGGATATTAATCATGCTATCGACCTCTTGCAAGGATTTGTTTCATTTCTTGAAAAATATAGAGAAATTGAATTTGCTATTGTCAAGGGTAAAACAACAAAAAGGCAAGCGAAATGGGAATTGAAGCTGTATTTATAGAAAAACGCATAATTCGAAGAAAAAAATTTGATGAAAGCGGTGGTGATGAGGTAAAGCAATCGACAGAAGAATCTTTTAGAGTTGAGTACTTTGTTTTTATAATTGATCAAGCTCTCTCTTCTCTGAAGACCCGATTTGAACAATCCAAACAATATGATGTCACATTTGGATTTTTGTTTAATTTGAAGAGATTAAGAGGTGCAACTTTTTCAAGTTTGTTGAACTCTTGTATGAATCTTGAGAAATATCTTCAATATGATGGGCGTTCGGACATCACTGGGGATGATTTATATTCAGAGTTACAAATCTTGAGGTGTTATATACCAAGTGAAGCAACAAGAGCAATTGAAATGCTACAATATTTAAAGATATTAAATGTTTATTTTCCAAATGCTTATATTGCTTACAAAATTTTGTTAACCATATAGGTTATAGTAGCATCTGCGAAAAGAAGTTTCTCGAAATTGAAGTTGATCAAGACCTATCTCCGATCAACTATGTCGCAAGAAAGATTAAACGGGTTGGCTATGTTATCAATAGATCAAGAAATGGTTGAGTAGCTAAATTATTCAGATTTGATTGATATTTTTGCCTCTAAAACAGTAAGACGAATAGTATTTAACTAATTGTTTCAAACATTGTTAGTTTTGATAGTTTATAATATAAATATTTTGTATAATATATTTGGTTGTTATTTTAATATTAGTTTTTCAAGTTAGTAATGAGTCGCATAATACATTGTTGAAGTTTGTATTTACGTTGATTTCGTCGAGAGGCCTAATTTCCAGACTTCGCCTTAGGCCCCGAGAATCACAGGACCAACTCTGGGTGTTGAATATCAAAGTTCGATGAGTGATGTGCTAAAATTTGATATTCATCCCCTCCAGCAGAATACACAGTCTTAATGCTCGAATATTGCAAGAACATCATATTTTTGTTTCATTGGATAAATCATGTGTACTGAGTAAAGAAGTCCACAAAAATAACATAGTACTAAAATTGTCAAATGAAATAAGTGGAGAGGGACCCCAAACATCCGTGTATATAACTTCTAAAGGTGAATTACATGACATAGACGAAACACCAAATGATAAACTGTGACTTCTATTACAGAGGCATGAGTCACAATGTGACTTAGCTAAAATCGACACTAGAAGGGATTGGGTAGAGACTAGTTTTTTTGAATGAATGTGGATGGCTGACCAAGGTGGTGATGCCACATATCAGAAGGAACATCGATGGATGTGAAAAAGACTATTGGTGATGAATCATATTGTGAAGATAGTGATGACGGCCACTCATAAACAAGTAATTATATTTCTTTGCATATGGGTGGATAAATAAATGTAAGACTCCGCATCCCATACATAGAAGTTTTCTCAACTTAAAATTATAGATACAAAGAAAGAATCGACTTAACAAAATCGGAAACTGAACTCTAGAGTATTAGCACAACATGGCTTAATTGAAAATTAACAAATTATTAAAGTACAGTACTTGATTTCGAATATGAGCCTTGGGTTTGAATATTTTTTTCATGCATATACTTATTATTAACGTCAACAATGGCATGCACACATCTAGGCAGTGATTAAGAAGAAATCCGTTTCGTTTTCCTATTTCGCACGACAATTGTCAGAAAGAAATTCATTTACATAGTTATCAATCTCGAAACTTCACGAAATTTTACGGGAAGGTAGGAAACTTATTATAATATGACATATCCAAAAATCAGCTTTTTTGGACAACATATGAGGTATTAAAATATTTTTAGTGGCTCGATTTGGAAGTTAAACTAGCGCAATTTACTTAAAATGACATAAAAAAATTCTATAGCTATCGAATTGATAAGATTTCAAATTTTTTTAGTAGCTAACGCATAAAGCTGTCAAACCCAAATGGTTTTGTCCAAAAATCTCAAGAAATGATTGAGTTACGAATTTTTGAAATCAGTGATAGAAGTTGAAATTTTAAGAAAATAACACTGAATCTTATCGCTCACATTTTTTTGTGATAAACATTTACTTGTACGTTAATTTCTATAAAATATAACTACTTTTAAACATAACTAATTCATAAAAAATTTCTTGGAACAATCCCACAAATGATATTCATAGAGGTCCATTTATTTATTTTTTTTAAAAACACACAAATGTTCCATAATCGAACAAAACATTAAGTCACAGGCTTCTCCATAGCACATTCCATCTTCATCGATTGTCATCTACGCCCCAAACGAATCAAATCAACATGTGTAAAGGAAATTAATC